CGACGAACTTCCTCCAGTTCTTTTCAAACTGGGTGGTGAGGCATTGATAAAATCACTTACCGCCTTGCTCCGTGACATTTGGAACGCGGAGCGTATTCCGTCAATATGGAGCGAGTCATTGATTGTTCCCATCTTCAAGAAGGGAATACGCAATGACTGCAATAATCATCGTGGGATTAGCTTAATCCCGATAGTCGCCAAAGTATTAGCTTCGATTTTGCTGCACCGTCTTACACCGGCTCGCGAGAGGAATGTCCGCGAACAGCAGGCAGGATTCCGCCCAGGTCGAGGATGCATCGACCAGATTTTTACTCTTCGCCGACTACTTGAAACGCGTCACACGCACCACCGACCAACAATAATGCTTTTCTTATACCTGAAAGGCGCCTTCGATTCAGTTGATCGAACATCGCTTTTCAGTACTCTTCATCGAAAAGGTATGCCCCAGAAGTTCGTGAACCTACTGAGATCATTGTATTCTCATACTTCTGGCCGCGTAAGGGTTTACGGTGAACTATCCGGTCGGTTCGAAACGACCAGTGGTGTTCGGCAGGGATGCCCTTTGTCTCCATTCCTTTTTAACTTCGTCATGGACGAAATAATGGAGAGTGCGCTGCAAAATCTTCAGGATGTAGGCGTCCAACTAGGAAATAGTGAAAAGCTATGTGACCTAGACTACGCAGACGACGTTGTCTGCTTGTTCGAATCCACGGAACACGCTCAGGGTGCACTAGATAGTCTCGCAAGAGCTGTAGCTCCATTCGGCATGCGATTTGCACCTTCAAAGTGCAAGGTGATGTTACAAGACTGGACGTCAGCGATTCCGAGCTTGATGCTCGATGGGGAGGTGGTGTCAGTTGTCGACCACTTTATCTATCCCGGTAGCTGCGTGACTACGAATGGGAGCACAGTAGTAGAGGTGAGTACGCGTATATCCAAGGCTCGAGCGGCGTACGCTGGACTGAAGCACTTGTGGCGCCGATCCGATATTTCACTGAAGTTGAAAGGTCGTGTATACTGTGCCACTGTGCGTTCAGTTTTGTTGTATGGTTGCGAAACTTGGAGTCTGCGTGCTGAAGATATTCGTCGTCTCGAGGTTTTCGACCATCGATGTTTACGTAGTATCGCTAGGATTGGGTGGAATAGCCGAGTAAGCAACGATGAGGTAAGAAAGCGAGTGTTGGGTACTAATTCAGAGAACGTTTTGTCACAGCGTATCCAACTTAGTAGACTTCGTTGGTTGGGACACGTGTTACGTATGGCAAACACACGTCTACCGTACCGTGTCCTATTCTCCGCCCCTCCCAGGGAGTGGAAGAGACCACGTGGAGGTCAACAGATGACGTGGCAGCGAGGAATGAGAAAATGTACAGCAGACTTAGGAAAAGTAGGTGCTTCACGTCTTCGTGGTTGGGGTCCAAAAGATCCGTCTACCAGTTGGCTGGAGACACTGAAGGATATGGCTGCGAACCGCGAACAGTGGAGATCGTGTTGTCACTTTCTATCGAATCAGAGTGTTTGATCGGTGTAGGTTTGTACAGTTAGACTGTGTATTCCGTGTGTTGGCTACTAGGGCATTCTTTCCTTTTGCTACCCGTGTAGGTCCACTCCCTGTCCATCTTGTATATTCATACTTTTTAATTCAACGTGCAACATGGTGAGAAAGGCAGTGGTCAGTGGGGCTTGCCATACTGTTTAACGCTGTACGATGATGATGATGATGATGATGATGATGTATACACAAACAGTTTAGTTATTAATTATTACCCTCCCCGGCATTAGCCACGCAAACCCACGAGAATTGCTGACTTATTTATGATGAACACTTTTCTCATTTTTCTACCGTGTATCCTATGCATAAGCTATGCAGGCTGAGATGTTTTACGCACGCGATCGATAGAAGTAACTAAAATTCTTTCTTTTTTCTGGATTGCGGGGCTAAATTGTTACGAAGAGTTACCTACATTATTCCATCTCAGTTTATCTTATGTTTTTCTAAAGCTGATCTTAGTAATCTTGTTGACTCTATTCACAAAACTTCACTTTTTATTTTTGAAAGTTGACGAGAGCTCCGTGCACAGCTGGGATATTAGTTATGTTGCTTGAAATATTCTAACTGGTAAAAGTCGCTATTTCAGTATCATTGGACTGGCTCCCAGTATACCGTTTAGGTGATTTACCTATCAGTCTGCGCAACCTTGTTTTATCCACTTATGGGGTGTGTGTATACAGGATTCTCGCACATACTAATAATTCTCTTGTTCACGAAAATTTTTTTCCTGTCGTTTCCGACTCACTTCGATTTTCCACTCATTCCTTCACAAATTATTTTGCACACGAACCTGTGGTCCTTTACTTCGCCCACTTAGTTTCGATCGACTAAATGGTCGGGATCGAATTTCGCAAAATCTTCAGTTTAATTTATCCCCCTTTGATCGTAAATTTACTGAAATACAAGCGCTTACTGGCAGAGGTTAGTTAGTACGACAAAGGTATGGTACAACTGAATGATAGCGTCTAAATGCACAAATTTGTAGGAAGTATTCCTCGCTTAAGGCTTCTGACACTTCTTATTTGTCATTCGGAGCTGGTAGTAAGAATCTTGTAATCCACAGTCCGTTTTCAGTGTTCGCAAAGGGCGGGATAAGTACACTGTTCGCCAGAAACGCTCCCCTCCCGAAACAGTGTACATTGGTGAAGTTACTTGGGGGAATCCTGACATATTGCTGTGAATAAAATAGTGTGATCACTTCCAAACGGTCACTTATTGGTATATAGTTGAGCCACCTCTGGATAATAAAACAGCATTTACCCGCCGAATCAGGTTCGCTACCAACCGTCTGATAGTGTCTAGTGTCATGCGGTACCCTTCCCCCTTGAATGCATTTTTTCAACTCCCCCAGAGATTCGTATTGCCGACTTTGATCCATTTTCCCCCTAAGCTGAACCCAGAAATATTCGACTGGATTGATGTCGGGGGATCTAGTTGGCCATGGGAGCGTCTTTTCACTGTGATGCGCATGAAACTTACTTGCGAGACAGTAATCCACTGTCGTCCGGACCTCGTGTGGTTCTCCACTCCAAGTCTCAGGGTCTGGTTGCTGGTTATCCCCAACAGTGTAGTGGACCTTCGTGGCTATGGGGTAAAATGCCCCTTTCACTGTGCTCATGCGCATGCATGTAATAAAAAAGATGTGTGGGCCCGTTTTCGTCCTGGAAAGTCGATTTAGTAGTTGTCCTTGACAGTGGCAAGATGTGTCGGATCAGGGTTTCTAAGTAAACTTGACCATCAGTGACGGTGTCCAGAAGTACCAGCTCGTTCCGACCTTCCCACCAAATGGCTCCCCAGACAGACGCAACTACCATGGTGCTGCATTGTTACTATCATCATGTCACTCTTGTCAGCTACAGAGATGTGTTTTCAAACATGCCTTCGGCGATTGTTGGAATTACGACTATACTGACTCATCAGTCTAAGTAATGGATTTCCATTGTTGAGCTGCTCAATCCATCTGCTGACTGTCCGTCTACAAAGACAAAAATGTTAAGTGATCTCTTGACATGACTTCCCTGATTCCCACCTCCCGATTGCACGCTAAACGACCTCTTTTGTGAACATCATATGAACCAAAAAAGCAGACACATTGGCTGTCTGACCGGGAAGTACACGTAGGTGTGTGTCTGACCCACACAACAAATATCATGCAATGGCAGATTGTAAGATGTGAAAGTATATTTGTCCTTGGCTGGTTTGAAATATTCCGAACTGACGGTTCGGAGCTTCACAACCATAGTTCGTTTAGAGGGATGGCATTTTTTTGCAAACAGTATACCAGAGCGCTTTTTGAGACCACACAGTGTGGACCGGAATGAGCGGCAATCCTCGACTGATTTGAGGCAGCTGTAGGGCTTGAAAACTAGTCCGTCTGAGTGCAGCGTTGATATAACTCAGAAGGGTGTCCTGCTTTCTTCGGCAGATCTTGTTTATCATAAGTACGCAAGTGTTACACCAATTTTTGGTTTGATAAATTTAGTTGCAAGGGCACAACTAGAACCACAAGCAAACAAAAGTCATCAAAACTTTGCAAAATTCATCGCTTCTTAGAGGTATACATTTTTGTGTACAGACACGACCAAGAAGCTTGGATACTTTGCTGAAGCACATACTTGTAGTGGTAACAAGTGGGTAATGGCATCCATTTAAATTTATGAGTGCAACAAATTCACAACTTAGCTATTTTTTGATTAGCGAAAACTGGGAAATAAGTGTAAATGATCATGTTTACAAAAGATGTGCCCATGAAATGGAAAGGGTTGTTTTAAATGATTTTCGGGCTCCAAAAATGAATACCTTACATAACATTTCTGTACTCGTAATGGTTCTACCAAAGGCACCCCCGAGTAGTCGATCGATCTGTTTGCCCTAACTAGAAGCTCTAACAACAGTGGTTGCCATGGCTACCATCATGTGGCGACATTGGCTGTCGTGTTCGTCCCGTTGTTGTCAAATTTAGTAAGCCAATCAGAATTTCATGGACGAAACCTAGACGGACAATGGACCCCCTGCATATATTTGTCCATCCTCATCGGAATCGCTCACTAGAATCATAATTTTAATTGTCCCACGTTGTCCCTCTGTATTCGCACACCAGAACTTGAGAGTTTTTGGATAAATGCTACCGAATACATCTTTCTCGTTTACCTAAAGCGAATTGTGATTGTATATCAGAGAAAATAACTATCATTCCAGCTCAGCATAGTGGCACTTGGTCACGGAATAGTCACATTTCGCCATTTCCAATGTTCACTTTCAAACTGGACGAAACTCGCTCGTTTCGGTGGACGATCGGATTTCATATAATGGTGAATCCCCTGTACTCGGGAACAGTGACTGGACTGTCACCGATTTATATATCTATTTTAATGAGTGGAATCTGAAGTCATCAAAGGATAACCATTTCTCATCGTTTCCTCCGGCATTTCGGTTTCACGCTGCTCGTATGATTGGCGTTTCGCATTTAAGTGATAGGCTATCGAGAGAGGTCCGTGTGTTGAATCATCCTGTCCGAGAGAACGCCAAGAATGGGGAAAATGTAACTTTTGAAAATAATTCGGCGCATTCGAAAAGTGTATTTGAGAGTCGTCCATTTAGTCCCAGAAATAAGGAAGGCGAATGGGTAAAAGTGATCGACTCTCCGCCTCCCGTACCGCCACGCATACGACAAACTCAACGCGAAGCATCTGGTTTGAGTCGATGGCCATCTGATTCTGATTTGCTGCGAAACACTGTAAGTATATTCGGCTTATCCTGGTGTGATTCTGTTTCCTTTAAGTGACGTGAACTGGAATTTGTGATGATTTCCTGTCTCCAATAACTGTTCCTGAACATAGTCGGCCCATTATCTACACGTCTTATCTACACTGAATAACCAATTATCTACTCCACAACGACTACGGTGATGTCGAGTCTTTTAGAACAAATCAAAGTCATGTAAGGAGGGAGTCGATTAGTATCTTTTTTGTCTACAGCAACATTTTGTCTACTGAGGAAAAAACAACCAACTTCAACAATCTGTCATTGAATCCACTTGAATAAAGTATCAGTAGTAGTGAATAGACCCATGGTTTAGATCAAAACACGTAGTGTAGGGGAACATGTTTTCGATGATTCATTTTCAAGCCATTACAATCACATTCATTTGTCATGAGAAAACGGGGAGAGAGTAAGAGGATAGTCGGTAGGTCTATCGGTTGGTTTGTCATTCAACCGTTTAGTCGGCCAATCGAAGTACCAGAAGTTAAGGGTATCTTCAAAGCGATGATTAACCGTACTCATCAGATGAAAACTTATTCGAAATGAAACCATTGACTCGCCACAATGTGGAACGCGAATAAATGGCCTAACTTCACCCTCTGAATACTGATTTAGTTTTTTGCCATAGTTTACTTTAAATACCGTGGGAATTTGTGGATTTCCTCACATGACGGTTATCCATGGGCACATATTTCATCAGACTTTGAAATATAACGTTGAGGTATTATCGAAATTCGAATGAAAGTGTAGTCTATGTAATTGATACATTCTCGACACGAAACGGCTCAACCTGATAAAAACGTCTTATTTCTATTTGAAGAAAGTGCACCAACTTCTTTCGCCAAAATTTAAGAAACTCTCCATCACAATTAAATCAATGCTGTAACTGAATCCTTGAACTTTACACATTTTTAGCTAGTTTGAAAGTATATAACAAATAAACGGATATTTGCACAGCAATGAGATTAACATCTCCATAGGATGCAGGACATGACACATTACCTGGCAGCAAAGTAGTCCTCCTAGAAGAACTTACAAACTGACAGACTAGAAAAGTGTATTGCTTCTGCCCGTTGAATTCTTTATTGTTCATTGTGTTGTAGATATTACTCCTACATCTTGGATGGTCAAGATTTATCCCACCTCATGTCAATCGGCGTAATCAATTACACAATTTAAAAGTCACCAGAATAAGTTTCTTTTCAAGTTTCGTACCACGTTTTTATGAGAAAAAGCCTACAAAATACGTTATCATGATTACAGCGCTCTCTCGTTTACTAGCATTGTGAAAATTTCCTTTCATGAGGGAGAATTTCTCTATCATCGTGAAAACAAACGATACATTCGACGGACCACATTCATTGGACATTCATTTCAAAGACATGTATTCCAAAAACAAATTCCTCACCTTTCTTCTCATGAGCCTACCACTAACCGCGAAATTGCTAATAAACCATTGGGTGGTACAGTTTTGTCTGAATGATTTCATTACTTTTGCTTCCTTCTGCCAAGCTGAGATATTTGCACAATGGAGATTGCTCCTGGCAGGATCAGTATTCAGGCCACCCTAATGAAAACCACAAACGATGAATTCTACTTCCTTGAGTTTATGAATTCTTCATATTCAACCGTTCATTAAGTGTCGTCTGTTAAGCATCAGTCAAACTGATCGTGTTAACCACAGCCACGCAGTTTCAACTTCACATAAATTATAGAGCTAACTTGAGCAATATCATATTGTGGATAATTTTATATTCTCAACCCGTTTTCTACTACATGCGTGCTCATGAGCGCAGTGGAAGGAGTATATACCCCTTAGCCACGGAGATCCACTTCATTGTTAGGGATGACCGGTAACCAGACCCTATGACTTGGAGTGGAGAACCACATAAGGTCCCAGAAGGTCAGGTGCTATGAAGAAATTACGAAAGCATGAGAAGCAACAGATGTTGATTCATTGTGAACATACTGAGTGCGGGAAATGCTTTACTGCTTTACTGCATTTATAGATCTATCCAAATTTGCCACAGTTTATATATATATATATATATATATATATATATATATATATACATCGAGGTCATAATTTTTTATTACTACCAAATCCATATTCTTCTGTTTGCCCATGATTTCACCACCCGGGATACAGTGTATGGAGCCATCGATCTCACGTTATCAGTATTCTTCCATACAAACTTTTCGGGAATGACATCTCATGGATATTCTGATTTCTGCGATTCTACATCACGGCTATTGTTCAACTTTTTATATCGTGAAGTTTACTCGGCTGTTTATAAGTAAAAAAATAATTAGTACCTGATACTTCATCTCTAATAGGTCCACTCCTGCCCCTTCAAATTTCGCCAAATACCAATTACTCTAAACACGTTCATTGCTTCACTACCGTTGTGTGCCATGGAGTAGGAATATATAAACGCCAAGTTCGGCAAATGATTGTTACGTTTTGTCACCTTTCTGCGATCAAGACGCGCAAACAAAAATCTGTTTCTCCTGCACTGATGATCAATGTTCAATTAGTTACTGAATACATTTTAGCGTTTTTAAGGAAACAGTAACCATTCTCATTGAAAAACTCCACGTAATCGATTATTTTTTGCATGATTGAATCTCATACAATCTGTCATGCAAAAAGTTTATTTTCGAAAAATTAATGGTCCCAGTACGCGATGGCGTACAACGCAATCATTGTGTTTTCAAATCTCTAAGAGAAGAAGACTTTTTAATCACAACTGGTAATAACGGGTACGAAAAGTATCAGTTACACCCAATCTTGGCCCGAGGATTCCCTAGTACTATATAAATAGTGAGTGTTTAAAACGCGGATCCTACTATTTCGGACGTTGTGGGGAAATCCAGGTCCCGTCAGCATGAATTATTAATATCGAAAATAACAGTGCCTGTAGTATAACTTGTCAGATTCCTGTGAGACCATAATACGAGCGACCAAGTGTTGCTGGTAGTAGACCGGTTGTCAAGTACTTTAAAGCATTTGCTTGCCACGTCGGATGTCAGAAGTTCGAACCTCGTCTCCACCAACCGTTTTGGTGGAAGACAGCAGTCCATTGTCTTTCGGATTGTTACCACACTCCAATTCAAGTCTCAGAGTCTGGTTGCCTACCATACCCAAAAGTTCAGTGGGTCCTTGTGGTTATGGGTTATAAACCCCTTCCATTACACTCATGTGCAATCATGAAATAAAATTACTAAAATAATAAAATAAAAGTAAAAAATATCTGTTAACTGTTGCACACGCTTACCTGACTGTAGTTAGGTAACTAGCCATCATCAGTCACATCTGAATGTAATTAATCTGTCTCTAGAATAGCACAGTGCCACAAAACGCCCAATGATAAATTTGATCACCAATTCGGGTCCCAGGGTCTCGGCTTCTAGTTGCATCTCATAGTACGACCGTTCTGTCGTCTCTAACCGTGCTCGTACTTTAGCAATACAATGTAAATTTCTTTGATTTCCATTGGGTGTGGAGTTGGAGGGAAAATTATATATTTAAGCTCCTCTTGTGATTTACTCGACTAAATGGAACTTAGTCCTCACGGATGAATTCAAACTTCATCTCAGCTTATTCGAATCATTTAGTTTGATGGGTTTACTGTTCTTTATTTTTGGTGATCTCAATCGTGAGAACATTCTACAAAATCTGTTTTTACTGTTCGTTTTGAGTAAACTCGTCCGCAACACGAAGCGTCAAGTATCAGTTGGATTGCAGTATTTATTCAGTTTGACTTATCTGACTGGTCAACATGCGTATTTGAGGCTCCGGGCGATCTTCTCATGGCGATTGAGTTCTGAACGTCACAGGGTTTTTCTGTCCAGTCAAATGATTTTGCAAGTAGAAAGTTTATTCAGCTGCACCGCTTGCAAGCTTTTTTGTTCACTTTTGTAGAGACATCTTTCTTCTAACTAAACTTCAGTTCACTTTCACGACTGTAAAAAGTAAACATTATTTGACTGATCATTCTAAAAAGGCTATTCTAAATAAGAAACCGAAACAGGAAGTATAGGCACGTGGCAATTTCAACGTTAAGACATACACCTGATCGACTTTCACTTTCGTTCTTTGTCATTTGGCTCATCAGTAGTTTTAGTACTCATTCTCCGCCGCCATAGTTTCGGTTACAGCTTTTATCTTTGTTTTGACGCGTTGTCTGTACCAAATCTATGTTAAATATTTATTTATCTTTGTTTGCTCTCTCTCTGCTAGTACTACATACAAGTGGCAAATCGCCCGTTTCTGTGTCCAGTTGTTTTACCTCATCTTCTGAATGTTCCTCTTCAAACACAAGCGAACCGTAGAGCACTATCCTTATATCCATCTTTTTTAATTGTCAGCGATTTTTTTCTTGTTGAAGATGAGAACGATGAGATATTTATTACAATTGTACTGTGGTTTGTGGGTGGTGGGAATTGCAAGGATCACCTCGCTTAGTTTACCTGTTTTGAGTAATAATGAAAATTTGCGCTTGTTCGCTGTTCTTCTCACCATATAATTGATAAAAATGATTCCCCTCACAATTTTACATTCCTTCGCTTTATACTATATCATGTATCATTTTCTAATTACATCTCTTCTACGCCTATATACGATGACAGTATGCTATCAACACAATTCTTGGTACGTCCCACTCCGTTAGCTCTCTTCAAACGCTCTTGCAGCAGTTACTGAACTCACCAACGGGTCCTCTGATGAACCTTTCCAAGTGCTCCGATATCTTATTTTGTCTTCACACTACCACCAAATATTCCGATCTTGCACCCAATTCCAACTTACTCATAGACGGTGCGTGTCCCTGGAACACCTTCTACCAAGTAGCTTGGAGTCACCATCAGTAGTGATCTTTCCTGGTCCCATCATGCTGTTGCGATTTTCGAAAAAGTAGACCTTTACCATTTTACCTGCTATGTTTTTTCCTACCTTACTCCATGTAACCAAACGTTTGACATTCGCGTGTATCCTACCACTGTGGGGCTATGCTTCTTCCGTCATCTTTCCAGGTTTGCTTGTGAAAAATTAAACTTATTTTCGGATCCACCAAACATCTTTTTCGTTGTAGTCGGGATCTCCTATGATCAATTCTTTCAACGTATAATATCCCAGCGCCAACATGCTTGCAAAGTTTGCTTTAAAGGTACCAAATGACTAATCACATCCTCTTTATCCAGATCTTAGTAAATGTGTTCCTACATCTAGCGACAAACATTTATTTTCCGCACCACCACTTATAAGTCATCGCCAGAGTCCTCACCAACCCTAACGCCGTCATAAACGAACAGAAAAACCGGTTGAGCTGAATATTATTCTCTAACCATGCCTGTGCTTACTGATTATGTAGCTGCTGAATATTCGCCTCTGGTTGTAAAAAGCAATAACTTGACTTGATTTGACATTATGTTTTTAGCATCCTAATTCAGTTTCTTATTGTGCAGGCAGTGGGTTGGCATAGAGTGATTACTATTTGTTTTTCTTATATCTGATCGTATCCATTTGTTTACTCGATCACTTGAATCACCTAAGGACTTATTGTATCTGATTTCAAAATACTTATTGAGCTTTTTCTGCTTTTAGTACCCCATGGTACAAGATATCCCGGTAAACAATCAAGTGGCACCAAGCCAAGCGGCAACTATCAGTCTTCGTGGTGGTGTTCGTGCTCCTAGGTTGCACAGTGACCAAGGACAACCACCGAACTTCACAGTAAACTCAGTGAATCGCAGTCATGGTGAACCTCAGCCAATTGGTCAACCTCCTCCTGAATCTGTCGAATTCTCCCAGTGGGATGGCACGCTGCGTTCACCCGGTTCTACTGAAATATCTCAGGTTCAGCGTGCGGTATATTCACGACCGACCCATGGAGGTTCTATACCCGAAAGCTCTAGATCTTACAAGCGATTGAGTAATGTATCCGCTGTCGTACCTTTGTCCGGTTTGTCTCCATTCGGTACTGGGTTCACACGTGCTTCCCTTTCTACTACTGGTCATGGCGCGAGCCACGACCATCCTAATTTCCCTACATCTGGCGAGAGTGTGATAAGTCATCGTACCACAATCAACGGTGCCACGCTTTCTTTCCATCACATTCGATACGAAGTGAAAATGAAAAAGATGCCTTGGAGCCGTGCGGTTACCCGAACAGTTCTAGATGACGTAAGGTGAGTTCGCTATAGCACAGAGTGTGTTTGTTTGTGCACTTTAAGACAGCATAACAGAAACAGAATTTGCTTCATCGATTCAGCCTAGTTCAGATTATGCAATCATTAACCTCGCACTTCTATGCTCTGATTTTGGTTGCTACCTCGCAGCATCATCCATTTGTATGCAGAATGAATAGAAGCATATGGCGAAAAAGCCAAAAGCGAAGTAATAAGGGAGAATCACTAAGAAAAAGAAAGAGATTGAATGCAGCCACACCACTGACCGCGGCGCCTTGTTATATCACTTAATTCTGCCAACCATCTGGTAGACTGGTCTCGTGGATCCCACCCCGGACGTCCGGCACGTCCTACTTGGCCAAATGCACTGGCCAAGGCTTTCATGCATTTCTGCCATGACTGACCACGTCAACCCACTTCCCAACCACTGCCCACCTCGAAGAACAGCGTACGCCAAGAAATTCTATCCGTGACCGCGGGCAACACATATCCCAACCACCTTAACCTGTTTTGATCTAGTTTTTGTTCCATTTGTTGAATATTTTCGAATGTATTAAGCAACCATGATTCATACCTTGAGCTTCGTGGTTCCAGTAGCTACCTTTCAGCGAGAATCTCATTGGAAAACGAAATTAGTATAAACACTCAATGGCAGAGCAACAAACAATAATTTTAAGTAAAGAACACCATCCCCCGTATCTTTTTATGTTTTTGGGTGGACCTTTCAAACCCCACTCAGGTGTATACACACGCCCTATGTGGCAAAGTCCACTGATCAGGTTTGTCCTACCTTTCTTTCATTACCGCGGGCAACCGAAACGTCCACTGATTGCCATCTGTTCCGATAACGCTATGTTACTGAACAATAAAGATTTCCGACTCTTCGACAAGAACTCTTGAAACTTTTAAAATAGATGGTGGATGGATTAAATACATAAGAGAAAACGGTTAGGTTTCGTGATCAGCAGCGCCTTTGTCTTCATGAGCTACTTTAAGCCAATCTGTAGTTATTATTGTGAAAGTTATAATGGTAATAACAGCGTTGTTGGTAGATGTAATTCGCCAACGTTTCGGCTACCGTGGATAACCTTTCTTAAGGCGAGTTTACAATCAAATAACTCTGATGGAATGTTCACATATCAACGGATGTTTGGTTGTGTACGTGTGTGTGTGTGTGTGTGTGTATCCACGTTCATTTGTTTGGTGGATGAATGATCCGTTGTCTTTCACACTAAAAGCATCCATGGTGATGAGGTCAACTAGCATTGTAGCCTTAGGGATGCTTATTCGTCAGTGAGGTTAGAGCTGTCCAGATCTCGAAAATCTTTACCCCTTCCTTGCAGTTGACACATGCTGAATGCGTGCTTATTGACGGAGCTTCAGTATACTTACGCTCAGTGCACGTTCTGAATCTGAGTGCGAGTATCTTGATGTTTTCGTATTCTATGTTGTGCCCCTCTGCCATGGCGGGGATAGCAGTCGCCGAGTCTCGCTCCAATTTTGCTAGGGCTGTCTTATCTGAAGATCTACATTTTTCTTTCCTGCTGTGTTCTGTTATTCTTATCTTCAGTTGTCTACTAGTTTGTCAAATATATTCTGCTGGGCATTGCTTACAACTGATTTTGTGGATGTCGTTTTGTTCTTCCAAGCTAACTGAATTTTTAGCCTTTGTGAGGTGGCGTCATAGCCCGCTTCCAAACGGAATGCGTGGTTCCTCGACAGTTCAATAATATCCAGATAAATTGCCATCCTATCCAACTTCAACTGGACACGGCTTCGGACATTAAAACTGTCTCCGGGCGGCTATGATACTCAGGTGATCGCCGTCCGTCCGAAAAGATGGTAACCACAGCCACTAGTGCTCAAGGTGGGTCTGTTAAACTTGTCTTATTTCGGATAAACTGTGACATCCCTAGATGCCAGTGGTGAAGGATTGTATTATCTTTCCAATATACCTCAACCTTCTTGATCTGGACTGGATTTCCCGTTTACATATTTTTCGACTTGCCATTACAGAATATCTGTAACTGCTATCATAGTGACTTTCCGTCGTCTGACCCTCCCGCCTGCAAAACAGCTTCACTCCACCTCATTCAAGAAATGAAACCCGTCTTTTAGTTTAAGCGACCAGCGCCCTATGCAGAACTGCCACTTGTACATCAATACCAACAACGTATGGAACCCCGCGGTAACACCGTTCTTGTGACTTATTCCAAATGGGTTACACCAATGATGGGCGTCGAGACGTTTAATGGTAGTCTCCGGATTTGTGCAGATTTTCCCACTGATCTAAACAACGTATTAAAGCCTCACTGTCATCCGCTTTCATTACCGGAAGACGTATTCACCATCTTAAATGGCGGCCACCGCTTTGTTAGACTCGACCTAGCTGAGGCTTATTTTCAAATTCCTGTCGCACCGGGATCCCAGGAACTCCCTGCTATCAATACTTATCGCAGTTTATTCCAGTACACTCGTCTACCTTTCGGGGCAAGGATAGCCCCGTCGGTCCTCCAGCAGGTAATGGACACCATGATCCCCGGTTCCGCAGGTATAGCGCGGTATATTGATTACAGAATTGTTGGTCGGTCACCGGAATAATTGAAACAACTTGTGACTGAGTTGCTTTGTCGAGTGCAGGATTATGGGTCCAGACTGTGGCCAGAGGAGTTTCAGTTCTCTAGTCATCTACCCTAGAATGACTATCAGTCGGTCAAACCGGTGAAGGGCGCCGGGCAGTCGCTTTCGTCCTCTGAATTTGGTGGGAGCATCCCCACCGCAAGAAGGCAGTGAGTAGGACTTCTTCAGCAGAGGCCGTAGCAGGCACACGGTCATTCGGGAGCATTTCGAGAGGCGTTCAGGACGAGTAGCCATTTCGGAGCCTTATACACCCACCCCTGGCCAGTCGGCTGTGACGATGGTCCATAATCCTTCTTGGTTAAGATTATAACACACGATTTCCGTCAGGAAGACGGCTTCTCACGACCACCAAAACCTCACTTTGGGTCCTCGGTGGATATAGTGATTACATTTATCAGCGCTGAGAATGATACTCATCGAGTCCTCAGTGACGCCATACGAGGGATCCTCATCACAGTGGACGACTTCCGGCACGACTCCGCCAAGCGATCAAATACACACGCACTAAATGGCCAGAGAGTGCTCCCACAGATGAACTGAGCCAATTATTCCACGGACGCCGATGTCTGTCTGTTGTCGATTCCTGTCTGATGTTCTCAGACATAGTTTTAATTCCGGCGTCATTTCAATACGCAGTCTTACAATGACTACGCACGGGCCACCCGGGTATGTGGTGAATAAAAACATTGGGGTGCAGTTTTGCGTATTGGCCGTCTATGGATTCTGATATTGGGTGTACAGTTAAACAATGCTCCGGCTTCACGGATGTAGTTCAACTCCCTAACCTAGGGAATAATGTTCCTTGGTCTGCGCCTCATGGTCCTTGTTCCAGAGTAGATATTGACTATGCTAGACTAATGGATGAAATGTTCTACCTAGTGGCTTGAGATCCACCTTGGACCATCTCCAGCGACAGAACACACTGTGAATTGTCTTCGGCGTGCTTCCGCACAACACGGGTTACCGCACATTATTGTATCCGACAGTGGCTAGCAATTCTCAGCGGCACTCTCTTAGTCGTGATAACCAAATTTAACATTCTTTCTCTCCTCCATACAAACCACAATCTAACGGCCAGGTAGAACGATTTGTAGACACGCTTAAGCGGGCACTCAAACCCCCCGGGGAGGGGACAAATGAGAAAATCATTCAAAAGGTTTTGGTAATGTATCGCATAACACCTCATATTTGGACACCTAGCGGTCAAACTCCAGCAGAGACCCCGATGGAGCGAAGGTTCCGCAATATCCATCAACAATTATGCAGTCAAGTGCGCAGTAGAAAAACAAAAGTCCATCTTTAACAAAATGATTACTGCAGTCAAAGTGATCACGTGTGTACTTTACTTTACTTTTCACTTTTATGCGGTTAGCTCCTGCGAGAAGATGAGCCGGCTCCACGCATGTCCCGAATGACAATAGCCCCTGAGCGGCGATCAGATGCGAGACCTAAACACAAAGAAATCCAGTTCTGCTTCCAGTTGCGAGCGCCGTGGACAGCCTGGAGTGCTAATCCCTCAACGTCCGATTTGATGGAACTGACCCATGTTTTCAAGTGTCCTCTGAGGCGACAGAGATATTTGAATGCCGGGACGTGTTCAATTTGTTCGCTGTTCAAGTATATCGGGAGAGTGGACTATCCATTGCATGTCGAAAGGATCTTGGTCTTCGACGTATTGATTTCTAGTCCCATGGATTTCGCGGAAGATTCTACGCGACTGAGAACCAGCTGTAATGTAGTTGGGCTATCTCGAAGGATAGTGATGTCGTTTGTGGATTCTAGATCGGCGAGGAAAACATCGGTGCCCAGCTGAATACCAGGGTGGTCGGTGAGCGCCTGATGCATTATTCAGTCGATGGTGTAGTTGAACAGCACTAGCGACAGGGGACAGCCTTGTCTAACGCCGGAATTGAGGGGGAGCTCGCTGGACTCCTCTCCGTAGATGCGTATTCTCGCGTGGGTATTTGTGAAGTACGACCTCACGAGACTGGGAAGCTTCTGGGGCATTCCATCTGCTTATAGTGTAGTCCATAACGATTCTCTGTCAACTGAGTCAAAGGCAGCCCGAAAATCAATAAAACAGGCTGCAGTCGGTCGGTGAGACTTGTACTGATGTTCCAATACTCGGCGGAGGGTGAATATTTGGTCCGCGCACCTTCTGCTACGGCGGAATTCTCCTTAATTGTTGCATGTGCGTGCGTCCCGCACCGCCGAGAAGCGGTTCAACAAAAGCACACAGAATGTTTGGCGGCCACTTCGATTAAACTGATGCCGCGGTACTTTTCGCACACGGTCCTGTGGCCTTTCTTTGGAAGAGGAAGTAGAACTGAGGTCCCCCAGTCCGTTAAGAGTTGTTCTTT